GGGAAAAAAACCCCCCGACAATGCTAATCACCAAAGGCGAGCATAGGTGCATCATAGAATGGCGCCGGAGAGAGGCTGCCGTTTAACACCCTCAACCCAAATTGTACTATTATGTTTTTTTCCGCGTTATTTGTAATTTATTTTGTACATAATGTTTCTGCCATCGTCTCTTAAACAAAAAGAGCTTCTGGATATCAGGGACAGCGATTACTCACCTCGTATTGGACGAATAATTTTTTCTTCAACAGCGGGGGCCGCGAGGATATCCTACAGACAAACCCGACAGGGCCCAAATCCCCGTCATTCGCATGAGGAAAGACGGAGATATCGTGGACGTAGGTCGGGGGTGACTTGTAAGGATCCGACGGCGAGCGAGTAAACTGCCGCTCAATCCTATTACCAATCTTCAAACATTGGAAAATAAATTGGATGACCTAAGATTACGGTTATCCTACAACGGGACATTAAAAACTGTAATATCTATGTTTCACCGAGTCGTGGCTGAACGACGACATGGAATACATACCGCTAGCGGGCTATACGCTACAATCGGCAGGATAGAACGGCTGACTCCGGGTAAGACAAGGGATGGCGGTCTGTGTACAGTGGGGAAAAAAAGTATTTAGTCAGCCACCAATTGTGCAAGTTCTCCCCACTTAAAAAGATGAGAGAGGCCTGTAATTTTCATCATAGGTACACGTTCAACTATGACAGACAAAATGAGGAAAAAAAATCCAGAAAATCACGCTGTAGGATTTTTAATGAATTTATTTGCAAATTATGGTGGAAAAATAAGTATTTGTGGTCAATAACAAAAGTTTCTTAATACTTTGTTATATACCCTTTGTTGGCAATGACACAGGTCAAACATTTTATGTAAGTCTTCACAAGGTTTTCACACACTGTTGCTGGTATTTTTGGCCCATTCCTCCATGCAGATCTCCTCTAGAGCAGTGATGTTTTGGGGCTGGTCGCTGGGCAACACAGACTTTCAAGTCCCTCCAAAGATTTTCTATGGGGTTGAGATCTGGAGACTGGCTAGGCCACTCCAGGGACCTTGAAATGCTTCTTACGAAGCCACTCCTTCGTTGCCCGGGCTGGTGTGTTTTGGGATCATTGTCATGCTGAAAGACCCAGCCACGTTTCATCTTCAATGCCCTTGCTGATGGAAGGAGGTTTTCACTCAAAATCTCACGATACATGGCCCCATTCATTCTTTCCTTTACACGGATCAGTCGTCCTGGTCCCTTTGCAGAAAAAACCAGCCCCAAAGCATGATGTTTCCACCCCATGCTTCACAGTAGGTATGGTGTTCTTTGGATGCAACTCAGCATTCTTTGGTCCTCCAAACACGACGAGTTGAGTTTTTACCAAAAAGTTCTATTTTGGTTTCATCTGACCATATGACATTCTCCCAATCCCTCTTCTGGATCATCCAAATCCACTCTAGCAAACTTCAGACGGGCCTGGACATGTACTGGCTTAAGCAGGGGGACACGTCTGGCACTGCAGGATTTGAGTCCCTGGCGGCGTAGTGTGTTACTGATGGTAGGCTTTGTTACTTTGGTCCCAGCTCTCTGCAGGTCATTCACTAGGTCCCCCCGTGTGGTTCTGGGATTTTTGCTCACCGTTCTTGTGATCATTTTGACCCCACGGGGGTGAGATCTTGCGTGGAGCCCCAGATCGAGGGAGATTATCAGTGGTCTTGTATGTCTTCCATTTCCTAATAATTGCTCCCACAGTTGATTTCTTCAAACCAAGCTGCTTACCTATTGCAGATTCAGTCTTCCCAGCCTGGTGCAGGTCTACAATTTTGTTTCTGGTGTCCTTTGACAGCTCTTTGGTCTTGGCCATAGTGGAGTTTGGAGTGTGACTGTTTGAGGTTGTGGACAGGTGTCTTTTATACTGATAACAAGTTCAAACAGGTGCCATTAATACAGGTAACGAGTGGAGGACAGAGGAGCCTCTTAAAGAAGAAGTTAAAGGTCTGTGAGAGCCAGAAATCTTGCTTGTTTGTAGGTGACCAAAATACTTATTTTCCACCATAATTGCAAATAAATTCATAAAAAATCCTACAATGTGATTTTCTGGATTTTTTTCTTCTCAATTTGACTGTCATAGTTGACGTGTATCTATGATGAAAATTATCCAGGCAGGGCTGTATCCATGCAGTCCGCTTTGCGTCGTACAGAAGAACAGCACTTAGCAGTGGTATATTGGCCAAATACCACACCTCCTGGGGCCTTATTATTTAATTATACCTCAGTGGGACTGAAACGTAGACGAACTCCTTTCTTCTCTGACTTCCTGTTTACTTGGGTTGTTCGTGGCAGTCAGTTTGCCTAGTTTCGCTGATCTTCATCCTATGTGTAGCAAGAAACCACGTTGAATCGCACTCAGTGCAGTCTATCAAAACTACCAACACATCTACAGAGATGTTGCGCCTAGGATGCGATCAATGGATTGTTATTGGACGAAAGATATTTGCCCCGCCCAAAGCAGAAACTCTGATTGGATACTGTAAACAATAGTCTGCGGTATTCATTTCTCATTGGCCGTATGAAATTATTTCTGTTGGACTGATTAACGACAACATAAGGTTAAACACTGTCGGGATGGATGCAGGTAGGAAAACAATGATTTAACGTTTTTGTATTTTGGCCAGCCTCTGAACAAAAGCAAGCCTCATGTAGCGAGCTATGTTTCATACAGGATTCCAATTTGTACATCAGTTGAGGTTTAACGTTACATATATTGTTGAATGTGAATCAAATAGTCAATAGCTAGCTAGCTAGCCAGTTACGTTGGCTATTAACCAGTCATTGCTATCAACCCATCCAGACAGACAGCCTAAACTATTCTGGTCTAGCTAACCAAGCAGTCAGTGTATTTTGGACTGAAAACAACAAACGAACGTGAAGGCTACTTTCTGTCCTTGACATCGGTTAGCTAGCAGAACTGGGTCCATGACTTCCAAGAAAAGTCGTTTCTGGCGTCTACGCCAATGTAAACTAACGTTATTGTTCAACAGTGTCACTAGCTATATAGATATCTACCAACAACTGCTGAAAGGATGGTCTCATAACTAGCAAGCCAAATATATTTGCAATGTCATTCTCTGTCGCAATCCCATCCTAGGCTATCTAGCCAAGCCAGCTAGCTAACTAGTTCAGCTGTCAAACTGCATTGAGTGAGTCTGTTTTGCAGTGCTGAAAGTGCTTGAACCAAAGCTAATAGCCCTAATGTTATTTAAATCAATATACAATGAACTGTCACAGTGGTCATTTGTATAAAGATGACAAAGTCAGATCATGAATGATTTCTTGTTCAAATATGGCTCCCTGGTGTGTGTGTGTGTGTGTGTGTGTGTCTGTAATCTATGTAGCAAGGTGTTCAAATGTACTTATATATTTCAGCTACTCTCACATACGACACACTTCGCTTTGGAGAGTTTGAAGATTTTCCAGAGACCTCGGAGCCTGTGTGGATCTTGGGGAAAGAATTCAACGCACTCACAGGTAACTGGAGACATCAGATCAGCGAGGTGGTGTCAATGTTGTGTGTTTTATCCTTGCTACATTACTGTGAAATATGGAATGATTCCATTAGTCAAAATGTAAATGCAGAAGTATAGGCCTATAGAACAAACACATAGGCTTAGCTACAGTACATAGATGGTACGTAAAGGCATACTGCAAGCAGCAAAAGGCTAGTCTGAGTCCCAGTCTTTTTAGCTAACATTCCACTCCATGTCATTCGCCAAAGAGACTGCCCTTGCAGCAATCTCAACGTTCAATATGCAGCTGGATTTACGGCGCAGTTTCTGATTGGCAGTTGGAAACAACATTTAAAATTTTCCATGACAACATTAATATAGAATTACAACTTAAAGAACAACAGTAACCTGCTGCGGTCATTCCCTCGTGAGAAGACAGTGTCAATTCAAGATCATGTTGTTCGAAGTGGCTAGAGAGGATGCCATCTCCCGAGTGGCGCAGTGGTCTAAGGCACTGCATTGCAGTGCTAGCTGTGCCACTAGAGATCCTGGTTCGAATCCAGGCTCTGTCGTAGCCGGCCGCGACCGGGAGACCCATGGGGCGGCGCTCAATTGGCCCAGCGTCGTCCAGGGTAGGGGAGGGAATGGCCGGCAGGGATGTAGCTCAGTTGGGTTCGATTCCAGTATGGAAAAAAAAAAAAAAAAAAAAATTGTAAGTCACTCTGGATAAGAGCGTCTGCTAAATGACTAAAATGTAGTGAGAGAGAGAAATAATGATACGGAAATTAGCCTACATGATTCAAATGAGCTAAGTTTGCTTCAGTTGCATCTCATTAATGAGTGGAAAGAAACGCAAAAACTGGCACCTGTCATCATTCCTCACACTTGCTAATCATCATGACTTTGACATTTTGTTATGCCCATTTTCAGTTATTTTCCTCTCTATTGTTAAGATGGAGCCCAGACAGGGTACACGGGATACTTTCTGAATTCAAACTGCCCACGTAGCCTAATTATTTAAAATGTTTCATTTAATTGAGTCTGACGGAAGCTTAATGTTTTTATTTTTTTATTGTGGGCATGAAGATATTTCAACATCATGTCGAGACGATAAAAGGCTACTCTCGTCACTCGTGATTGGCTGCCGAATGTATAGGCGTCCCCATAGGCCGAATGTTTAAATTGAGGAAATGTGGTCATAATTATTATTTTAGCTATCCACCGTGGACGTCCGTCCTAATGAAAAGGCTCCCCATCCTGCGGCTGTGAGCTGCTGGACAGCACACTGGCACTTTTATGCGTTTTATGGATGAGAAAGTGAACTTGCAATTTCCAAAAAGGAGCTCAGTGGGGAATCAGGGATTGCCTGCTTTGCGATCTGTTGCCTACATCAACAGCCAAGGTTTCATTAAAAAGGCCTAGGCACTATACTTTTGTTATTGCACATTTTAATTAAACTGACAAAGATCTGGCTTGCATAGCACAGGTGTTGGTCACCTAAACTCACTGTAGTAAGCCAGGCCTAATGTACACTGAGTGTACAAAACAGTATACAAACAACGCTCTTTCCATGAAAGACTGGCCAGGTGAATCCAGGTGAAAGCTATGATCCCTTATTGATGTCACCTGTTAAATCCACTCCAATCAGTGTAGATGAAGGGGGAGGAGACGGGTTAAAGAAGGATTTTTAAGACTTGAGACAATTGAGACATGGATTGTGTATGTGTGCCATTCAGAGGGTGAATGGGCAAGACAAAATATTTAAGTGCTTTTGAACAGGGGTATGGTAGTAGGCCCAGGCGCACCGGTTTGTGTCAAGAACTGCAATGCATTTGGGTTTTTCATGCTCAATATTAGGAAGGTGTTCTTAATGTTTTGCACACTCGGTGTATAGGCTAGCATACGAATGGTAGATTAATATCCCAGCCTATGAATTAACTTCTGATTTACACAACTCTGTATTCACTGTTCCCTTGCACAACCCATGCATCTCCACCTGGCTCTCTCTTCCATCCTCTCTCTATTCCTCTTGAACCAGTAGCCTAGCCCAGTAGCCTAGCCCAGTAGCCTAGCCCAGTAGCCTAGCCCAGTAGCCTAGCCCAGTAGCCTAGCCCAGTAGCCTAGCACAGTAGCCTAGCCCAGTAGCCTAGCCCAGTAGCCTAGCCCAGTAGCCCAGCCCAGTAGCCTAGCCCAGTAGCCTAGCCCAGTAGCCTAGCCCAGTAGCCTAGCACAGTAGCCTAGCCCAGTAGCCTAGCCCAGTAGCCTAGCCCAGTAGCCTAGCCCAGTAGCCTAGCACAGTAGCCTAGCCCAGTAGCCTAGCCCAGTAGCCTAGCCCAGTAGCCCAGCCCAGTAGCCTAGCCCAGTAGCCTAGCCCAGTAGCCTAGCCCAGTAGCCTAGCACAGTAGCCTAGCCCAGTAGCCTAGCCCAGTAGCCTAGCCCAGTAGCCTAGCCCAGTAGCCTAGCCCAGTAGCCTAGCCCAGTAGCCTAGCCCAGTAGCCTAGCCCAGTAGCCTAGCCCAGTAGCCTAGCCCAGTAGCCTAGCCCAGTAGCCTAGCCCAGTAGCCTAGCCCAGTAGCCTAGCCCAGTAGCCTAGCCCAGTAGCCTAGCCCAATGCGTGTCCCAGAAGTAACAATATATTCTGAACAAAAATATCAACACAACATGCAACAATTTCAAAGATTCGGTTCATACAACATGCAACAATTTCAAAGATACAGTTCATATAAGGAAATCAGTCAATTGAAATAAATTAGTTAGGCCCTAATCTATGGATTTCACATGACTGGGAATACAGATTTGCATCTGTTGGTCACAGATAACTTTTTTTTTAAAGGTAGGGCCGTGAATCAGAAGACCAGTCAGTATCTGGTGTGACCACCATTTGCCTCATGCAGGGTGACACATCTCCTTCGCATAGAGTTGATCAGGCTGTTGATTGTGGCCTGTGGAATGTTGTCCCACTCCTCTTCAATGGCTGTGCGAAGTTGCTGAGATATTGGCAGGAACTGGAACACGCTGTCGTACACTTCGATCCAGAGCATCCCAAACATGCTCAATGACTGACATGTCACTGAAGTGTGCACGCCATGGAAGAACTGGGACATTTTCAGCTTTCAGGAGTGTGTATAAATCTTAGGGCTGTGCATTATCATGCTGAAACATGAGGTGATGGCGGCGGATGAATGGCACGACAATGGGGCCTCAGGATCTCGTCACGGTATCTCAGAATGCCCAATGTTAGAATATTTCCAATCAAATGTATGAATTAAGTTAGAAAGTTTTCCTATCAGTCTAATTTGCATAAACATTGTGATTTGAATGATAGCTGTGAGGGTTATTGAATCAGGATCAAATCCTCTGATCTTCTCGAGATTGCCGAAAGGCCAGTCTCTTTTGGCAAATGACACCAAGTGCCAAGGAGTGGAATGTAATAGCTGAATGGAGACGGCCACCAGGCTAACAGAAGGCATCGCTTCTTAGCTAACTCATTGTCTTTGTTTATCTAGAAAGGGATGACATTCTTTCAGACGTCACTTCACGATTATGGTTCACCTACAGAAAAAACTTCCCACCCATTGGTGAGTAGCCCAAACCTACTATAGCAGGCCACAGAATAGACCCTTGGTACTGCAGTAGCATAGCTAGCATTTTGATTGTAATGCCAATAAGATTAGCCTATCAGGTGCAGATTGTTTCAATGTGTTCCAGGAGGGACGGGGCCTACGTCCGACACAGGCTGGGGCTGCATGCTGCGATGTGGACAGATGATCCTAGGCGAGGCCCTGGTCTGCAGGCATCTAGGCCGAGGTATGGATGACTGCTTTACTAATTATTTACCGTAATCTGTTCCCTGAAGCATACAGCTAGTGGTAATGCTTTCAACATTAGCTTCTATTATTCAAGATGTACTGCACCGAACGATCTCTGGCACTGTGTGGTACAGATCTCTTATTGCACTGTAGTAAGTACACTGTTCAATGGAGCACTTGTTTCACATAGCAAACT